GACGTATGGACAGTGCTGGGTGACTGACGGCCATGGCGATGGGGGGAACGCCAGGTGCGGTGAGCTGGCTCCTCGGCCTCCTGTCTGCTCTCTGAGAGCTTTTAAGGAGAGAGCAAGGCCTGGTGGACATGGCCTGGAGCTAGGATGCCTGGGTTCTTTCTATTCCTGGTTCTGCCACTGGTTTGGCGCATGGCCTTGGGGAACTCACTGCTCCAGTCTGTGCCCTTAGCTAGGGATCATCGGGACAGCACGCTGGCACTGTGCTGCTCTGCGTGTGCTGGGTAGGGGAGGCCTTGAGGAGGGGGGGACCCAAGAGGCATTGGGGGGAGGTTGGGAGTACCTGGAGGAGAGGTGGGGACGACGACCCAGGAGGCATATGGGGGAGGTCGGGTTACCTGGAGTGAGCCAGGAGTCCCCAGGGGTCTGAGCACAGCCCCTGTGCACCCCGCAGTGGCGGGAGGTAAGTTGTGAAGCCCCGTGCCAGGCTCTGCAGCAAGCCTCGTGCCGCCCAGTAACCCGCTGCCCTGTCTCCCTCCCCCACAGCTCTACAACGAGGAGATCCTGGACCTGTTCGACAGTGCCCGGGACCCTGACTCCTGCCACCGCAAGTCCAACATCAAAATCCATGAGGATGCCAGCGGCAGCATCTACACCACAGGCGTCACCTCCCGCCTCATCAGCTCCCAGGATGAGGTGGGCGACACCCGGGACCTGGCTGCTGCGGGGGGGGGTGGGGTGGTCGGCTGCTCTGGATCGCCGGAGAGCGGGCAGGGGCAGAATGGAGGGGCCGGGTGCTGTGAGGGGCAGAGCCCCCAGTGATGACAAGGGGAGTCAGGCGCTAGCGTGCCCCAGCCCCAGGGCAGAAGCTCTCCTAGCCAGCTCTCCGAGGCTCTGGCTGCTGCCGCCCTGGGACAGACACACTCAGGGTGTGGCATTGACATGTGCCCGGCTGATGCGCCCCTGCGTGGCATCAGGGCACTGCACCAGGATGTCGAACGCTTTGGATTTTCCTGTGGCGGCTTCGCAGTACAACTGTGCCCCTGGTCCCAAAGCTGGTCTGGAGGGGCGGAGGGGGATGGACTGTGAATGGATTTTCCCTCCCCCCCCAAACTGCTCTACTAGCCCCCCCTCGAAGGAGAATTGTCCCCCTGCTGATCCCAGCCCTCTCCTCTTGCCCACACTCAGCAGCCCCCCTTGCAGCAAGAAGGGAGCCCAACTTGGACAGAGTTAACTCTCTCCTTGCCAGTCCCCAGAGGGGAGAGATAGCTCAGTGGTTTGAGCATTGGCCTGCTAAACCCAGGGTTGTGAGTTCAATCCTTGAGGGAGCCATTTAGGGAACTGGGGATTGGTCCTGCTTTGAGCAGGGGGTTGGACTAGATGACCTCCTGAGGTCCCTTCCAACCCTGATATTCTATGATTCACTCCCCACCCCTTCAATCTGTGCGCTTGGATCCTTCTCTCCAGGCCCCTGCTCCTGCCCTCTGTGCCATGTGGTGCAGGGCCTAGCGAGAGCCATCCCGCTGGCATCCTCAGTGCCCACGTGCTCATCCCCTGTTACCCGAGGGCAGGCGTCCGGGCTCCATGCCCAGCCCTCCCATGCCCCCTTGTGTCGTTGGCACGTGGTACCTGTCTCCCATGGGAGCAGCGTCCTGGGGCGAAGGGGGGGTGGGAATGCAGCCCCCATCCTGTAGCACCGCGGCGAGGGAATCGCTCGCCTAGCACGCAGTACGAGCCGTTAGTTAACCAGGCATCGCTGCAGGAGGCTCTGGTCCCAGGGGAGACGAGTCAGGCCCAAAGGCAGGACTGTGAGCACGTGAAGCCGGGATGC